CCCTTCTCCTGGCTGGTCACGCATGAGAGAGAGTAGCAGCAACAGGCTCGGGCTGCCGAGGGAAGATGCTAACAAGCACAACCTGCTGACCTGAGATCTAGGGCTTGTGGCCCTATTTTGATTTTTAAATAGCTTGAACGTGGGGGAAAGGGAGCAGATGGGCAGCTGGCCATCCACAAAACAGCCACCCTCTAGGCAGCAGGCATGCCCCCGTGGCTCACCCAGGAATGAGTTGGGTCACAGCTGAGCAATGGAGGAGTTCAATCCGCAGGTCCAACCACTGGCATCTGTCCTGTGCTGGCTGAGAAGAATGTCCATTAACTTTGTTGGTAGTTTTGTGATTTGCCCACCTCTTCCATGGGAACGGATTTGAGACTCTCATAGACTCACAGACTTTAAGGTCAGAAGGGACCATTTTGATCATCTACTCTGACCCCCTGCACAATGCAGGACACAGAATCTCACTCACCCTCTCCTAGAATAATCCTCTCACCTATATCTCAGATATTGAAGTTCTCGAAATGATGGTTCAAAGACCCCAAGATGCAGAGAATCCTCCCGTAAGTGCCCCATGCTACTAAGGAAGGCGAAAAACCTCCAGGGCCTCTGCCAATCTGCCCTGAAGGAAAATTCCTTCCCGACCCCAAATATGGCGATCAGCTAAACCCTGAGCATGTGGGCAAGACTCACCAGCCAGACACCCAGAAAAAATTCTCTATTGCAACTCCTATCTTCCCACCGTTGGCTTATTTACCACTGATAGTGAAAGGTCAATTAATTGCCAAGATCATATTACCTCATCAAACCATCCCCTTCATGCAGACCAGACAACACCAAATCTGGCATCCAATGCAACCCTAATATGAAAGACTTCTCTAGTTACCAACCTACTCCCGTAGCTCAGGCCAACAGAAGATAAGACAGAAAGCCTGTTTTTAGGATTTCAGTTTACCTAGCAGAGCATGAGAATTATTGCACAAGACATTTTCCAGCAAATCCTGTGTCTCTCTCTGGCAGCCCAAAATCAAGCAGACTAAGGTGCACTGTAAATCCAGTCCGTCTGGAAAAAAAGGCCAAACAAAAGGCACCACCCACAATATTACTACACTGATCAACTCAGCTTGGAGTAAATGGACACAACTCTTGCACATCTCAGAGGAAGTTGGCTCCAGAGATTCTGGGGCAGAAGTTAAAAAACCCAGCTTGCTGGAGGAGTGAGTCGACTAGAGAAGAATATGTATCAAATCAGTGTTCCCTGTAAGTGGTGTGCTTCAGAGGCCATCTCAGAGAGATTCAAATGCCGCTCAACTGATTAGCAAAGCGCCCACTGTGTTTCTACTGGCGGTGCGCATCCAACATGCCTCAGTGCACAGAACAAAATTTATTCTGTACACAGATGGACAAAGTTAGAGGAACATTGACCAAAATCTTGACTAAATGGCATAACCAAGCACCAGAGCTCAATTTGGGGGGAAATGTATTTGTAATGAGGGATACAGAGCCCACACCGGGTTGGGGCAAGACTGAGCCAAATGGTTCTAGGGCCAAGCATGCCAGCAATCCATATGTAATGGCTGTTAATCAAGGAGGCTGGGCACTCCATATATAAATAGCTAAGGCAGAGCAGGAAGTTCCACAGGAACAAAACCAAGGCTGCCCACACATGGGGAGAACGCCTCTTTCTCTGGAAAAAGAAAAAGCCAACACAGCGATTTCCTGAGGGTTAAAAGGCCGTTACTTCAGAAAAGGGCGTTGCCTTCTGGTTTGTTTCACTGTTGCTATTCATGTTGTCCCCTTGAACAGAGAGATTCTCTTGGTGGAAGGGACAACTTGGCTAGTTATCCCACCAGAAATTGCTGGACTGGACACTGCTTGATGGCAGGGGCACTATTTGTTATTCATCTCCGTGAGAATGAAGTGAAGATTCCTGACAGGTGAAGTCTCTGGGTTTTTTTCCCTGCTTTACCACACAATGCTTCATTGTTTGGACACCTTGTCAACATGCCACCCAGACATTTGCTTGCTTGGTGTTATATGGCCCCGGAGACTGAGAAATGTAAACTCTTGCTGCCAAGAGACCAGATTCCCTAGAGAATTGCTCAGAGCTGGAAAAATTCCAGTGAGCTGCAGTTGCTGGAAGAAGGTGGATATTTGTAGTCCTGCGTGGATACAAAATTTGCACCCACAATAAGAGTCACGCATGTGGATTGTTGCTATAAAGCAGCTATCCATGGATTTGCAGGGCTCTACAGATATTCTGGACTATGAGCAAGACACACAGATTGGAGTAAGATTAAAAAAAAAACAGATCAAAGGACAGTCAACCTGTGGAACTCCTTGCCAAAGGATGTGGTGAAGACTAGGACTTTAAAAGGGTTCAAAAAAGAGCTAGATAGATTCATGGAGGTTAGGTCCATCAATGGCTATTAGCCAGGGTGGGTAGGAATGGTGTCCCTAGCCTCTGTTTGTCTGGAAATGGGTGACAGAGGAGGGATCATGTGAGGATTCCCTGTTGTGTTCCCTCCCTCTGGGGCATCTGGTATTGGCCACTGTCGGCAGACAGGACACTGGGCTAGATGGACCGTTGGTCTAACACAGTCTGGCCATTCTTATGGTCTTGTTTTTAAATCAATGGCCTGGGATTCTGGAGATCAGGTTTGAATATATACATTAAAGCAGAGGAAAACACTGCCTCAGCCAGATTAGTATAAATGCTTCATTCAGACTAACCTAGTCATTAGCATAAATGAGATAAATAAGTGCTTGTGAAAGTGAGAAATTCATAGCACTGTAAATTTAAAACGGATGAGTAGAGACCAAAATGAACAGAATAGACAGCAATTTAAAAGCCTGGGAAATCCAATTCGTGGTGGACAGACAACACACAAGATGAAGGGCTGATGAGGCCTCATGGAAAACTTTGAAAAATATTCCGCCGCAAAACAGTTGAACTTATAGTTCATCATGCGGAATTCAATTCCCCTGTTCTTTATTGCCAAGGAGGTACAATGGCATGGAGCACAGGTCTTTGTTCAGTCAGAGCTTACAGGCTCTTGGTGTTTTCTTTTAAACAAAGATTCTCCTTTTCTTTACATGTTCCCAGTAACAAAGCCTAGGTAGAGTGAGTTCCAAATAGAAAATCATTGCAAAGATTTCCATTGAGCATCAGCTGCTCTGTAACTAAACATTGTTCTAAAATAAAAACCAAGCGACAAATAGAAACAATGCAAAGGGAATACAGAGCCAACAGGCAATCAGTCTGCCCAATACAGTCTAAATCATCCACACAGTGAAGTGTATTTGTTCTATAGTTCTGTAGCAACATGAAGAAAAGGAATGAGGAGAAAGGGGTGTAGATAACATTAGTCTTTCGCTCTCTAGAGAGTTCAACTTTGGTGCTTGCATCCTCTTCTTCAGCAAACACCTGCCACAGCTCCGCCCTTGAAGATATGTGATATGTTGTCCACAGGAATCATGTTTTGTTTTCTTGTGACTTTGTAGTTGTGATGTCTGTTGTTCTGTTGTGACTTTGAAAATGGAAGAACCAAGAGGTCTAAGGTACTTTTCTGAGTAGCCATGTAATATCATCTTATGAGGAACTTTTTCTTTTCCCATCCCTTTCCCCCAGGTGGCTGTTTATGACCTTCACAACTTGTGTCATGGCTTCATGGAGCCCTGATCCAGCTCCCATCAAGTTCAGTGGAGCAGAGTGAGGCAGGATCCTTGACTGTAAACTCCTTGGGTACGTCTAGACTTCAGGCTTTTGTCGACAGATACTGTCGACAAATCTTCTGTCGACAAAGAGCGTCTAGACTACATTCAGTTCTATCGACAAAGCAGCTTGCTTTGTTGACATGGCAGTGTAGATGCAAAGGACAGTTTAGATGCAATAGCGCCTTCTGTCGACAGAACTCTGTCGACAAAAGGCATTATTCCTCGTAAAATGAGGTTTACCAGCGTCGACAAAACTGCTGAGTTCTGTCGACGTTATGTCGACAGAACTCAGCGGTAGTGTAGACGCAGGTTTAGTTTTGTCGACAAAAGTCCACTTTTGTCGACAAAACCCTTTAGTCTAGACACAGCCCTTGGGGCAATCACTTGTGACTATGAAGCACTCAGCACGTTTATGGTGTTCAGGTATAACAAGCTAATTCACTTTAAATCGCTGAGCAAATACACTTACAGCTATAACACTACTTTTAAAATGTTGACATTACAGACACATTTGAAGTCAGTGAGGGGTATCCACAGTGGAAGCCCACATAGGGCCACTTTGATTCGGGTCTGTGCACTTGTGCTCTAACCTGGATCAGAAAATCCTTAACCTAGAGTTAAAATGCAGTGTAGACGCTCAAGCCCAGAAATCCCTAGCACACATCAGCTGACCCAAGTCCCACTAGCCCTAGGCATACATTGCTATGCAGACATAGACCTTGAGAGTTCTGAAGTGCACATTTACAGCAGACATGCTCCTTACACAGGGAGGCTAAAACAAATGATTGAATGATGAGCTAAGTCCACCATAGCCAGTGTGGACCCTTCTGGGATTTTCTTTATTGGATTTCGCAGGATGCAACCACTGCAAATGGCTCTACATTACTCACAGAAGCAAGCTAATGAGCCTCCCTAGTCTGATTACAGCTAACATTTGGTTTGGAGGACAGCAAATGGATAATGCTATTTCCTGGGGAAAAATGTTAATGTGGAAGGATGTATTGTTTTCAATAACACTCTGGAATAATTCCATGGGGTGATTAAGCTTTTCTACTTCTTAGCTCCCACTCTCAGAATAAAGGATGCCCAATTTTACCTCTAATGGGGAACAATCAGATGTGTATTTAAAAATAAATAATAACCAGAGTCAGGCCAGAGATGGAAGTACCAAAATGTACAGAACCCAATAACTCTGAGATCAAAAACAGTTCTTGCTAAAAAATAATTCACCCTATTTTTCCAATGTATTCCTTAAAAAAATACTCTAAAATGTAAACAAATTAAACACACACAAACATTTAATATGACCTGAACATCAGCCACAGGTAATTTCTTTAAGTACAAGTTCATGAAAATTATTGACAAGTTGCCACTTACACAGAATGAAAATGACCCATATTCAAGTTAAATATTCATGGGTATGTCTAACATTACTAATATACGTTTATAAACTTTAGACTTACGGACTTTTGACAGATTTATCATCTAGATCAGTTTTATCTTGCACCTTAACAGTTTGTTATTCTATGCTCATGTGATGACTTTGTGTCTTCTTATGACTTTTCATATTATATATATATATCCTCAAACTTTCTCAGCAGCTTGGAAATATCACTTCTATCATGTAATAGATGCACTTTAGCATTTTGAAGTGTTCACATAAAAATATATATTTGCACACTAGTGCTTTGAAAGTTATTAAAGAAGCACAGAAGATTAGGTTTGGAAGAGATCTCAGGAGGTCATCTAGTCCAACCTCCTGCCAGAGCAGGACCGACCTCAACTAAATCCTCCCAAATTATCAGTATGTTTCAAACTCAATTACTTTCTAAATCTGTAAATTGATATTAAAATCCACGTATGTTGCTGGCTGCCAACATGTATTAAATGGGAAGAGTGCATTCATAGCAATGTATATTAACAAAGCACCTCTCCCAGCAATGTGGAATTGAAAAACCCCATTGTAATTTAACTGCAATTCCATATGTATGCAGCCTGTAAATCTTTTCATTATAACTTTATTTGCTTGACTGGTATCTTAAGGTATATTTTACTAGGGATGTAAAATCCAGGCTAATCAATTAAACATCAGGTTGACCTAACATTTCACCAATTACCCAACTAAGAGGGATCCGGGTTGGGGTTGCTGCCAGCTCCCACGCTAGGGCTGGCTCTACTAGCTCTCAAACAGCCCCCAGGCTCCCTGCGGACAGAGGCATCTAGCGATGCTTACTGGTCAACTGGGTTAACCTTTCACATCCCTATATTTACTGTATACTTGTATTACTAAATTACTGTTATGGTTTCTGCCCAGAATAAGCAAGAAATACTGCACATGTACCTAAACTTGTTTTAAATGGCATTTCTATGTATTGCCTGCTTTGAAAAATAGTATGTGATTGCATAATTAAGAGGGTATTGTTATGCATATGAACAGACCCTTAACTTACATAAGCGGCGAGGAGTCCTGTGGCACCTTATAGACTAACTGAAGTGTTGGAGCATGAGCTTTCGTGGGCAAAGACCCACTTCATCAGATGCAGCCCACGAAAGCTTATGCTCCAACACTTCAGTTAGTCTATAAGGTGCCACAGGACTCCTCGCCGCTTTTGCAGATTCAGACTAACACAGCTACCCCTCTGATACTTAACTTACATATATTCAATAATGAGAGTTAACAGCCTTGATCCTCCCAATGTTTATGCATTTGCTTTCTTTTAAACATGTGAGCAATCTCATCCACACATGTACACATTTACAGACCAGGGGCTTAAATCTATAACTAAAAGAGGGACATTGTGACTGTTTTAAAACCATCACACCTCGGACTGAAAAATCCACCCTCAAGAGGAACGCCTAAAACAGACTATTATTGGAAGATTTTGTTCAACTGAGTCACATCTTGGACAACACTTTTTAATAATTTTATTAAGGCCTTCGCATCTTGTCAGTTTTATTGTCTCCCTTTTATTTGTAGGGATCTTGGAGACAGTTATAAGGAAAAGAAAAGCATTTTTAAGAGAAAGAAAATGTGCCTGTAAAACCAGAAGAACAAAGGGATTCCAAGATGAGGGGAATCTCTTTCCCCCTTTTCCCCCCAACTAGATTTCAAATTAATAGTGTTCATTTAGTGTTACATTAATATGTATTTTCAGACCTTTTTTTTTAAGATTAGATAAAACTAATAAAATAAAACCAAGATCCCAAATTGACTAAGAAGCACAAGAGATGATCCATTACCTCAGTTCTGATATTCTTGGTAAAATATATAAATCCACCACAAGTTACATTATAGAAAGCAACGGAGACGTTCCCCTTGAGGAACAGTGTCATTATTTTAAAAGGTGAAAACACGTCTCTGATTCATGTTGCATGCTGAGAGAGGCTCTCTTACCGGGTAGGAACGGGGACTTCGGTCAGAGCACCCAACATAACTGCCTGCTGCAGCCGGACGAAGGCAATGAAAGGGCTTTCCAAGAAGTCGACCTCACCAACCAACACATTGGAGGCCTCTGCATCACGGGGCAATTTCTTCATAAATTTATTCTTCAGCTGTGGCAATGAGAAGGAAAGGGAGGAAAAAAGTGGTTCTCTCATTAGGTGGATTAATACTACACAACCAAAATAATCCAATTGTAGCCCCTCTCCCGCAACCCTTTACAATCTTAAAACATCCACATAAACCTATCACCAGCATGTCTCTGTGGTCAGTATCTAGTATAACCCCCAGGTTATTTTATTTGCTGGGAGTCTAGACACTCTGGAGGCGAGAGACCAGACTGGGAAAAAACACCTGCAGTGGTGGTACTTTCCCCTTCCCCCACAAGCTAAAAGACATCAGATATTTCTCCCCACTGAACAAGTTAGCCAGGCTGCCATTAGGACTGAGTGCCAAGATGCTGCTGGGGTGAATGGAGTTGGTAGTGCCTCTACAGGCTACAGTTTCTCGCTGAACTTCCAGTTTCAGGAAGACAGCACTGTGTCAGGTCCTCGTCCAAGTTTTCATTGCACCCTTCGGGGCTAGAAACTTTAAAAACATGAAACCTACGCACTGCAGGATCTGATGGCACCAGCCAGGAACTTGGCCCATCTACCTCCTTGTAGAACCAGCCAGCATGTGCACAGCACCTATTTCTCTGCCCTTTGAACAGTGTGACAGCATTAATGGAAGGATGCTGTTAGCCTACCTAGGATGTTTAGGAGCAGAGCTGAGACATTCATAATCCAGATTTCCTCAGCCCCAACTTTCAAGAACCATCCCCGTCACAGACCCCCCGGGGATTGCGGCAGCTACTGCATGAGGTTTTTTTTAACAGCACAGCTGGCAACCAGGACCTAGGGTGGAGTGTAAAGTGGGAGGGAGGCTGGCTGGCAGGCAGTTGCTCTCCACGGTCACAGCGCAGGGCAGAGAACAGCAGTGGCAGACGAGGAGGGGAGGTGTTAGAAGCACAGCACAGCTGCAGCAGGGACTGCAGAGAACATGGAGGTATATTAAAATGTTGTGGAGGGAAGGGAGGCAGGGACCAGAGAAGACATTAACTCCAGGAAGGGAGCAGAGATAGAAAGTCAGGAGCGGGGGGAGCATGAGTGAGAATTTCAGAGAGGAGAGAAGCGGGAGTGGGATGGGGGAGGCGGGAGGCAGAGCAGGAGAAAGATGGGAGGCAAAGGAGGACAAGCCCTATTCTATTGCTAAAGGTGTGAGAGAAGGGAGATGGCTCGTGCAGCTGTTCAAACAGGGGAACATCTGCCATTCTCCCTTGAGACATAACAGAGAGCGGTGGAGAGCCAGTTTCGCAGTGTTCCAGGAGGGGTTGGCAGGTGAGGCTGGAGGATCAACGGTCTCCTGCTTGTTGTGGTGCCTGCTTAACTTTGGATAAGCATCCAAACTTCGAGAGATGAATCCAAATCCCAGGCCTTTGGAGGATCCGCAAACAGGCCCCCAAGCCACCTTTTAACAGCGACCACTAGCTCGTACACGCTTCTTCTCCACAGTAGGTCTTAAACACCTTTCTGTAAAGCCATTGGTACCCCTACTTGGCTGGAATGTGCACAAGGCCTAGGGGAAGCTGCTGGAGATGCAGGATTGACAGAGACAGTCACAATACTCCCACCTCCTCCATGACTGCTGTACTATTCCGTTGTGCCCTGTACCATAACTGCGGAACTCTAGGGGGCAAATTATTATTCCTGATCCACTAGGGTCGTGAATGTTTCGCTTAACCAGTGGGGGCTGGGGCACGCTATCGCCGTGAATGGTTTTCTCCCCCACAGAGAAACCTCCAACCTGATAGATCCCCCCTTTCTTCTGCCTCATAATACTTTCCTCAGAATACATTCCTCCAGGAATCAAATTTTAAAAGCTTTGCATGGAAGTTTCAAGCTAAATTAGTACACTGTTATTATGGGATATATACTGAGAGCAACGATCAACGCCACTCTGCCAAATCCTCAGTTGATATGAGTCAACGGCGCCTCACTGACTTCAAGGGAAACATTATTTTAATGGAGCTATGAGAATTTACACCGGCTAAGGATCTGGCCCTGTTGCCTCCCAAAAGCCCCAGAGTACATATGATTAGTGTGTTTTAATATTTATAAACAAGGAAAACATTAAACGCATGGGGAAAACATGAGGCTCATGCTACATCCCCAAATCAAATCCCTGCTGGTTTTAAATGTAGATTGCTAGATACTTCCCTGCTGGCTAAAGTAATGCTGTAAGAATCAACACATACACGGGAGTCAGGACAAGCAGACATTGCCCAGGAATTCTCTCACGCAGTTCTAAACAGAGCAGGATTTCTCATTAGGCACAACTAAGAATGTCAAGAGGCAGGTAACTGACTAATCATGTGATCCATACAATTTGTATCGACTACACTATTAGTCAGTAAGGAAAGGTGCTCAGTCCTGGATCGCACCAGTCGGGGACCTACCCCCACTGCGGCTCTGCCATTTAAATGTAGGAGGAGCCAGGCACGCAGGCAGTCCAGCTCCTACTGCATTTAAACTGCAGAGATGCAGTGGGGGTAGGTCCCAGATTGGTGCGAGCCAGGCTTACTACTTTTAAATGTAGTAAGAGTCGCAAGCCGGGATACAGCTGGGACCACTGTGGCTCTTACTACACTTACAATGCAGAGCCGTAGCAGTCCCAGACTGGTGCGAGCCAGGACTGAGCCGGGCTTCCTCAGTCCCGGCTTGTACCGGGTCCAGTAGTCCCGGTCTGCGGGGGGTCCCAGTGAACAGTTTCACAGCAGCCTCTCCTACTCCCTCTCCTCCCCGTCCCCCGCCTCTGATACAGAGGCAGCAAGGGGGGGAACAATTAGTCGAGAAGTAACAGGCACGTACCTATGGGCAGTGGCATTCTACAGGCACCTAAAAGTGAACGAGTTGAAAAGTTTCATGTTTTATGGTAAACATGCAGATCAGCTGTAGGTGGGGACCGCTGAAGATGCTGTGATCCTTCCCTGGTTCTAGCTGGTCTGTAAATTCTGCAAGGCTTTCCATTGCCAGGAAGGCTTTGGGGAGAGGCAGTGAACAAGGTCCACTTGTGCATGGAAGCACAGTAGCATTTTCCTGTGGGCTGAGTTTGAGAAGAATCCAACAAGGGACAGATCTGCGGCTGGGTGGAGGAGACGGCTCAGTGCCGTTGACCAAGCAGCATGAAGGAATACCCGCTTCCCACACCCGTGTCCCAAATTGCTCCCAGTGGGGCAGTGCAAAAGGCAGTTGGCAAAGCAACCTTTAACACTGGTTGGAAACAGGTTTGTGCACTAGTTTCAAACTGGAGGCTTTAGGTACAGCAAGCACTGAAAGGCTTGTTAGTATCTGTAATCAATGTTTTCTAACCTCCGAGGGAAGGTGCATGGCTGTGCCCCGCGTTGCAGTGATGCTGTATGTCAGCAATAGTGGAATCAGGAATGGTCTAGTTATTATAAGAAGACTAGACTTGATGACCTACTCAGGTCCCTTCCAGTCCTACACTTCTCTACACCAACACAAAAGGCTCTAATGTTGCCAGCCTGGACCTAGCGTACAGATGAAAGTATTACGATGGCTATCTTTTCATCAACATCAAGAGTGCAGAAAGGCCACCTGCCATGAGACACCCCATGCCCACAGACTTTCTCCAAGCAGATGTTTGCTCACTATTGAGGAGGGTGCTTTTTAATGAACCTGTGCGCTGTTCACGCCGTCCGTATAAAAATAAATGAGCCAATATGCTCTGAAACACAACCATGCAATTGGCAGAGTCCCTACCACCGCCATCCTTCCTTCTTCCATATCTCCCTTTTCTTTATCACCCTCACTTGGGGTGTCTGGTCTACAATTTAGGCTATTCAAAAAAACAAAACTTATTTGAAGAGTCAGTTGAGAGAGCAAATGAAGGGCAATGTAGTTACCTACTGCACTGGGACAATTATAAAACCGAGGCATTTAATAGCAAGAGAATGAATTAACACCACCGTCCATCTTGTCCTGTCTGCATAACAGAGGTGTTATTCCCGTCATGTAGGCATGTGCATATTTTAATCACAATTCAAGGGGTGATTAAAGGTGCTTTTAAGAAGACTGGCAGCGGTCAGCATAAGCTCAGGGAAAGCCTAAAAGGCAGGACTGGCGCTAGTTAAGGTGATCTAAGGTTATGGCACCAGCACGGGAAAAAAGTGTTGTGACTTCCGTCACAATCTTCGCAGTGGTTCCAGAAACACAACAACAGATCAGTTGTGCTGTTGCTCACCGGCGCCAAACACACAAGGGAACCCAACGAAGGCTTCGAAGTTTTATTTACATTTCTAATCATTGTCTCTCGGGTCTCACACGGTGCTCCTCGCCGCTGCATCTGAGTGCCGGAGGGACTTTACTAACCAGCTTCCCCCGATCAGCCGACTGCCAGAGTTACTCTCATTTGTGTGTCTTCCCTGAAAGGATGGCTACAGCTTCAGACTAAAAATAGTTCCTGAGAGCCTACAGTTTTGGTCTAATCACTCCACCTACATCCCATAACTGCACCACAAAGGACGTGAGCACACTCACAGCACAATGAAACATGCATTGTCTAGGCAACAAAACTTGAGCGTGGAGGCGACGTAATCTAGTCAATGCAATCAATTAGTTCTGACGTCTTGCGCAGGAACACGCTGCAGCAGAAGTTTAATTTAAGAAAAGCTTCTCTTGGCTGCTTTCCAGCATCTTCCTGGCGGTAGAAACCTACGAGCACAGGCTTTCACTTCTGCTGCATGTATTAAATTAGCCCCAGAGGGACTGCTGCTTGGCAGGATAGTCCCTGAGCCACTAGTCTGGCTCGCTGCATTTCCCCTGTGGCAGCAGCAGGAAAACTCACGGAGGAGCACGTCTGTGTTCATGCGACTGTAGCCACCACTGTTCCACTAGGGGGCTCTACTGGTTTTTGGCAGGGGCAGAGTTAGGGTTAGGGTTAGGGTTAGAGCAACAGAAAGAGCCGAGATCAGCACCTCCGGTGGTGTGGCCTATTAAGCAGCCTCCCAAATCAATCGGACACCAACTTGTTCTTACACGCTTTTCAAAAAAGC